TCCAGCTATAACCCACTTTCTGCCTTCAGACTCTTTGCCCGTTTCAATTTGATGCTTCTTTGAAAAACCCATGTGAAAAAACTGAAAAAGATTTGATTTTTTTTTTTTGGTGAGGAACAAATTCCTTGGCTCAAAAGGTTATATAAATCACAGAATAGAAGGAAAAAAGATCCTTTTTTTTTGTGTGTTTGTGCGAGCTAAAGAGAGCTTGAAAGTCACAAAATAAGAGGGAATAAAACGAAAGGGAATTTGAAGGGATCTCTAAGAGAAGAGTAGAAAAGCTTCAAACAAGAACAATGGCGGCAAAAAGGAGAATTGGGTTTGGGCGTTCAACAGGCCTTTTATATTTGGGGTAGGAGAGAGAAAATGAAGAGAGAGCGAGAGGAAAAATAAGCTAAACCTAATTTGGAGGGGAGTTTATACAAAGGTCAGTTCGTAAATGGAAAATGGAGGTTTATTAAATTATTATATGAGATTTTGTACAGTATGTGAGTGTGAAATTAAGAGGGGCCTTTTTTGGAGGCTGCCCGTAGAAATTTCGGGCAGCGAAAAAATCTGGGACTGTGACTTTACCGCCAATTTTCGTGATTTTCAGAGGGCAACGGCTCCATTTCCCGCCATAATGTATTTTGTCCTTTTCCCATGTTGACCCCGTTGAATATGCTTAATTTCTTGGCCCTTGAATGCGGTGGAAACCGACGTCGTTTCGGATGTTGGAATAAATGGGCTTGGTCTGGGCTGGGCTGCTGGGCTTGATTGTGCTTCTATAGTTCATACATTAGCAGTCTGAAAAAATGGGAGGGAGAATATTTCGAAATTTATTTCACTTTGGCGTTTTATTCATGAATCATGTGGTATCGTGAAATCTTGCATGTTATTTGCAACATTTGCTCCTTGTATTATTTATGGTCACCACAATAAAAGAAGCTACAATATTGACAGCCAGCCCCTTCTCCTTCACCCCTCACCTTGTAAGTCCACCATCTTTTGCCCCTATTGCCAAAAACTTAGGCCATGCTTGTTTACAAAATCACACATTCAAAATGAGTTATTTTGGTTAACTAAAGTTAATTTTGAGAAAAAGTGGTATATTTAATTGTTAGTAAAAATTTAAAATGTATTAAAATAATATTAAAACAAAATGATTAATATTGATTTGATATAAAAGTAGGAGGTAAATGATTGAAAATGATAAATAATTTAAATTATGTGAGTGGATTAATTGTGAATTAAAGTTAATATGATGTGTAAGAATAATTAGTTTGTATTATTTAATTATGTAAATAATATTAAAGATAGAGGAGTTGAGTTAATATTTAATTAGATTTTAAGTATGAATTAAATGTGAATAAATTATTTAGTAAACAAGCATGCCCTTATATTCTCTTATCTCCTAAGTCCTAAATAGTTGAATTGTTGAAGTTAATTAGCTAATTTACTATGTAACAAGTTGAAAGAAACAGTCGTTATGGATTTTTTTTTTTTTTTTATTTTTTTTTTTCACAAAAGAAGTGAAGAAGAACAAATTCTTTTCATGAAAATAAATATGAATTTGTTGGATTGATGAAGTTGTAACAAATAAATTCATCAAGGCCATAATTGTCTCACAAATTCGACCATACGATTTTAACCATAAAACTGACGATGTCCAGTCTCCGAGCATTGTTTTCACAAAACTGACTATATTTTTCGTATTAAGTATTAACGCACGGCTTTCAAAGCAAAGGCACCACAATAACAAATTACTGATGTTAATAATATATTTATTTTAAAAATGTTCGTTCAAAGTTCAAAATAATTAAAATGTGCGACCTACGAGAAGATAGCTACGAAATTGGACACACACAGCCAGCGTGTGCAGGTGATTGGCTGGCTGAGCAAGTGGTGGGCCCATGGGCTGGGCGGCCGCCACCGCCTTGCTGCAGCCAATCATAAACATCCGCAAAGTTGGAAATATATGACAGCGCGGAGTGGGCCAATCCAATTAGGATGATATCAGTGGACTATATTCCACGAACACATGGGCCTTATTATTTGTTCACAGGCCCCAGGTCGTCTTTTGTTGTATTTTATTTCCTTATCTTGAAAAAACAAATGCCTAAAAATTATCTTAAATCCAGGCAAAACAAAATAGTTGAGCTGCAGTATCCTCTTGAGAAAAACTATTTAACTAGAAAAATTTTTTTTTGGAAATAGTTAAGGAATAAAATGAAGATTTTAAAACGTATAATTGAGATAAAGTTGAATTTGTAACCAAGCATGGCACAAGCAACCCTCCTCAATCCTCTAGTCAGTATTTCCATCAATTAGATGGATCGATTTGTTTGACTTCTATTTCTCCATCAATTCTAGTCGTTCTCTTCAAAGTAATGGCTTTTGAGGGCCCCGGTTAAGATTGGTGGTTCTTGTAGGTTTTTAGACACTGATTGGCGGACCTCCATTCCTTTTGTTTGAATAACATTTAACATAATAATGTAAAGCAATTATTAGTTAGAGACCTGAAACACAATACAAATTTTCTGACCTGGTGTACCCAATTGGCCTAGAATTCTCAGTGGCAAACCATAACAGTGCTGATTATGAGATAATTGAAAACCTTAGATAAAAACTACAGAAACTTCTAGGCAACTTTATTTATATTTTCTTTTAATTGGTATTAAATTTTTGTAAGATTCAATTGCATAGAATCTAGTAAGAGAAATATTAACGAGCTCATGATGATATATTTTCAACGAGCTCGTGAATCTTTCACTAGCATAGTTGGCATGTTGGGTATGTGTTTTTGTGAATTTGTATTGTAGTGTTTTAGTTTAATTATTGGGCTGAAAAGCGGGCATATGTCACGATAACGTTCAGCGGGGTTCCAAATTTCAACATTAACCTTGCTTCATTTCGAAGTTCGAAATTATCAGTTTGCTAATTATATATTAGACCAAATAAAAATTAAAGAAAAGACCAACAAGTAGTTCTATACATAATAATACACTACGAAATGCACCAAAAGTGCTAACAAATATTAAATCCATTTTCGCTAATAGAGAAAGATCATTAATGGGTCGCCAAAACGAGAAATTCCAATCAAAATTGGTAACCTAAAGAATGTGACACCTTGATCAGGTCTTTTTCTGACAGCAATTTATAATTGGGACTTAATAATGACCACATCTAACATGGCCAAGCTAAACTTATTACGCAATTGTTGCGATGTTGCTTTTATAAATTAAAACATACGTCCAACAGCTTGAGTGTTTCTTTGATCTACTCATGCTATTGTTATTCTAACGACTTCATAGTTTATTGACTTTAGTATAAGGCTTGATATTTATGTGCAAATTGGCAACTTAATAATCTATAAAACAATAAGGTTATTAATGTTGGGTAGACCTAACAGGTGAGTAGTCATACTTTTTCAATATATATGCCAGTTTCAAAATAAAATGTTATACTTCAAAAGACAATATTAAATAAAAAAAATATATATGTACATGCAAAAAATACAGAAAAATGACATTTCATAGTCTAAGTATTCATTGTTGTTAAAAAATATAACGGATCGATCCACCTAACAATAAGACCACATCATACTAGAATTTGAGTATATAAAACAACGTAAAATAATTTATCCATGATGAATAACCCCAAATAATTATCACTAGGAATGAATGGCGAATGTGTAAATCATAGAGTGCAAAATGACAAGTAATAATGCATCATTTCCTGAAAAATGTATTTTAGAAATAAATAACATTAACGAGGCTGTAATCCACATAAGGGGCGGCAGATGAGGACAATAAAGCTTTGGTTTTGGTCGGTTTTTTATGAAAATTGTGTGTTGCTTTTGTGATTAAAAAACTTTTTTTTGAGGGGTTAGACAACCTATACTCCTATTGATATATCACATACGACCAAGTAAAGTAGAGCAATTGCAATTTAAGTACAAATTTTTTTAAACATAAAAATAGACCTTTTCCTAACTGATAGTAGTTGAGACTTGAGTTAACAATTAGTTAAGGATATTGTGTCTTTTTTAATCAACACTTGGTGTATTTTTATGTTGAGTCGTTGACTGTGCATAACAAGCATTCTGCATGGCCTCTCTTTCGTATGTTATAAAATTCCTAGGTAAAGCTTTCAGAGCAGTTAATTTACCTGAGTAGCTCAAAGTTATGTCTCTATAAATCACTCTCTTTCCATATGCCACCTCATAAGAGGTAATCAACTGAACTTTCTTATTTACCTGTTCAGAGGATGATTATTTATTAGATGAAACATAATTGAACACAAAAAGGTTTTCAACATAAGAATTCAGTAGTACCATTCATAGTTAGTAGTCATTACAAAATATAATGCTGAATATGAAAATTTCACTGAGTAAGATTTTTGGCACTGCATATGATGTGTTTTAATCTAATTAATAAATAAGTCTCAAGACTCACCAGTTGATAATATAAGTTTTGGCTAATTAAAGATATTAGCAGGGATTAACGTGACACATCACTCCATAGTCAATAGAAATCCAACTAAATCATAAGAAATAAGCATCCCCTCTGTAAGAAGGAAATCAACCCAGCGCTCAGAGTTTATATGCATGCATGTTATTAATTAATACTCATCTGGGAAGAGGAGAGCAGAATTAGCACATCAAGGAAAGGCTAATTTGAACTCAATTGTGTTTACTATTTAATGTGCATATTTTAGAATTCAAAATGAATAATTTGCAGGCTTGTAAAACTACTAAATTGCAAACCTGCCCTTTAGCTTTTGTTCAAAAAACGACCAATCAGAGGGGTTGTCTTTAAATAATTGAATCAACTTTAGAAGAGTTATAATGTCTCCTCATAGCAACTTGGGCTTTGGCATGTGATTTGATCACTCACTAGGACCATAGTCAATCACTACCCAACTCAAAAAATAAAAACATAAATAAAAAAATAAAAAATTTAAAATAAAACTAATAATAATAGCATAAGTGGCATTTTGTCATCTTTAGCCAACTTTAGCAACGTTTCAATCAGAATATTATTTAACACTTATACCCCATATACGTATGATCATATGTTCATAACTCCAGACACCTCTCTATTTATGCTAATTATGATGAGAAGGTTAAACAGTGCAACTGAAAAATAAGAATACTTGCCTTTAAAACCTCAGATATGTGGAGGAATTTGATGATCTGAATCTGATTCCTTGGATTCCAGGTGGCAGTATACAGATTTACTTGTGACATGGCAACTGAAGTGAAGAATATTCCAGCTCCTGTGTGTGAAGCAGTAAGTAATATCCCAATTCTGATAAGTATTTAATGACTTGCAGTTGTAAGTACAGAAGAAGATCTATGAGTAATATACAATCGCTCAAACTCTGAGGTTTTGTTGCATGTTGTGTTAACCTATGATTTTGTTTATTTTCTTAATACATCAGAACTAATATGTGCTATGCGTTCTATAACCCTGTCATCGTGTGAACTATATGCTGCACGACTTTTTATAGGTGTGAATCCAGATTATATTTATGATGATCAGCTGTCAAGTAGAACATAGATCCACCTCTAGGACCAGTATCAATCTCAAAAAGGGGTTACTTTAAAGTCTCAAGCTATATATATATATATATATATATATATATATATATATATATATATAAAATGTCTCAAGCTAAAAGTACAGTAGGACAAAAGTTCAATACACCTACAGAGGATCCTGAAATAAAGTGTAATATCACTTTCAGGTTTCGAGCAAACGGGTAGACATAGATGATCAAACGACGAAGTTAAATCATTGAGCTATAAAAATAATGAAAAAATTAAAACATAAAATTATGCCAATGCTTATGGTTATGGAGAAGGTCTCCAGGCATTAAAATATTACTGAATCACCAAACATTTGACAGAGATTCAAGGCAATTGATTGTGAATATCCTCCCATGTTACAGATTGTAGATATATTATTATTTGTTTTTCATTTAACCAATTGATGCTTCTTGTCTAATATTGATCTGCATGCCACCAACTTACGCATCCTAATAATTTAAAAGTCGCAAAAAATCTTATCGCAGGAAAGGGATCTCGTTGAAGCTACAAACAATTCAACCAAATCGGTACCTCAAGAAGAAAAGACTCCAGCTGATGCATCGAAGGGACCTTCTATAGCCGAGGGTAATGATTTTTTGATAAAAGCCTCAGCTGATGAAGTTCATCCCGAAGTAAATAACATTCCATCAAATGCCAGCATGGCTACCGAAAAGCCAAACCAAACTGTGAAAGATGAAAATGAGATTTTGATTGTTAGAGACCCTAAATTAGATGAAACACTAGATGTTGCTTCAGATGAAGGGGCTAGCTTGAAAACAATCCAAGAAAATACTGAAGAATCAAATGACTCGCAGATTGGGTGTGATGAGGAATTGAAAAAGGAAAGCGAAAAATTACTACCGTCTGAATCTTCAATTAAAGGGGCAGCCACTGATAAGGCCAAAGAAGAGGATGAAGAACTCAACAAAAGACTGCCACCGACTGAAGCATTGACTGAATCGGCACCTATTGATAATGCCAAAGACGAGGACGAAGAACTCAACAAAAAACTGCCACCGACTGAAGCATCAACCGAATCAGCAGCTATTGACAAGGCCAAAGATGAGGATGAAGAACTCAACAGAGTTGAACTGCTGGAAAATGAGAAGAATACAATTAGTTTACTGATGCAAAAGACAGATGAATCGATAGAGTCCTTGCAAGGAATACCTGATAATCTTAAAGCACCACATTTAAGCCAAGATAAGGAAAAAAATTCTTCAGAAGAGCAAACGCTAAATGGGAGTCTTGATGGAGTCACTAGTAGCGTTACTGAAGGAAAAAGCATTGATGCAATAGAGACACAAAAGGAAGTTCTTGAGGTACGGGAAATAGTCATACTAAGTAAAATGCCGTTTCCTTCTAGCATCACATTGGAAGAAAAAAAAAAGATAAAAGAAAAAGAAAATGCGATTTGTTTCTATAATGCAACTGACTATATATTGTAGTGAATAGGTTAGTTGTGTTTTTATCTAACCAAAATTGATGCTCTTTGTCTAGTATTTGACCTGCATGCTACCATCTTATGCATCCTCATAATTTAACGGTCGCAAACAAAATCTCACACAGAAAACGGAGATCATTGAAGCTACCAACAATTCTACCAATACTCTTCCCCAAGAAGAAAAGACTCTAGTTGATGAGCCTACGAGACCTACAACTGAGGGTAATTATTTTTTGGAAACAACCTCTGCTGATGAAGTTCATGCTGAGGTAAACAACATTTCACCAATTGCCAGCATGGGTACTGAAAAGCCAAATCAAACAATGAAAGATGAAACTGAGATTTTGATCATTAGAGACCCTAAATTAGATTATCAGCCATTGGATATAGCTGCAAATGAACAGACTTGCTCGAAAGCAATCCAAGAAAATACTGAAGAATCAAATGACTCGCAGATTGGGCGTGATAAGGAATTGGAAAACGAAAGCAAAAAATTGCCACCGCCTGAAGCTTCAATTAAATGGGCAGCCACTGATAAGGCCAAAGAAGAGGATGCAGAACTCAACAGAGTTGAACTGTTTGAAAATGAAAAAAATACAATTAGTTTGCTGAAGCAAAAAACGCATGAATCCGTAGAGACCATGCATGTAGTCACTGATAATCTTAAAGCGTCTCATTTGGGCCAAGATAAGGAAGAAACTTCTTCAGAAGAGCAAATGCAAAATGTGAGTCTTGATGGAATCACAAGAGGCGTTACAGTAGAAAAAAACATTGATGCAGTAGAAACACAAAAAGAAATTCTTGAGGTACGGAAAAGAGTCATACTAAGAAAAAATTCATTTCCCGCTAGCACCACTCTGAGAATTTTTTTTAAAAAAAAAAGAAAGAAAGAAAGAAAGACATATACTCTTAAGGTCATTCAATTTATTGACCTTTCCTTCTTATTGCAGAGTATGCCAACAATTGTTTCATGTTCTTCCGAAAAGGGAAACCCAGATGCAGATCTACAAGGAATCACAAGTTGTGGTATGGTTGAAAAGACAATTGATAAGGTTGACCTACAAAAGGAAGTTGTTGAGGTACAGGTAAGCATCGGATGAAGATATGAACTTCCTGTTACAATTACAGTTGATTTTGATACATATGAGAAATAAATGGCCTTATTCTGGAAAAATAATATAAAATCTTTTAAAGCTAACCAAGTTGGTGAATATTTATTCTTCTTGCAGAACTTCTCAACAACTTGTTTGAACGAGGAAACAGAAGAAAAGCATTTGATTGAAGTGGATGTCTCAGAAGCAAAATTTGAAGAGTTACCAGAAAAAGATGGTGAAAAGGTGAATCAGCCGCAATCCTTGATAAGGGAAGCCACTGATGATGAGTCGGTAGTTATCCATGAAGCTCGAATCATGGATGGAGAACTAAGAGAATATGAATTGGATGAAAATGAGAAATGTACAGAAACTGCTCTTCTGGAGAAAGAATCTAAAATTGAGAAGCCCGAAGATCCCTTGAATGCAGATTCCATAGAAGTTAAAAAGTCCGATTTGGGCATTGTCAGAGAAATAAGTTCTTTTGAAGAACAAAATGCAGCAACACCCGTAATTTCGGATGGAGAAACAGATGAAAATTCCATTGATGCAGCTGAAAAAAATGACAAAATTCTTCAACTGCAGGTCAGAAATGTTGTAGCATTTTGACCTTCAATGGAACTAGCTTATTTCACATCCATGGAGTATCAGTGGAACTTTTCCACAAATATAAATAAATGAATAAAAAGTCATTCCTTAAACTCAAGAAAATCAACAAACTTATTGTTCTTGTTGCAGGAAGATCGAACATTTGCTTCAAATGAGAAGACGGAAGATAACTCATTGATCCAAAAGCAAGACTCAGAAAATAAAGATGAAGAAAATTTGGAGAAAGACAACCACAAACCATCCTCAATAAACAATTTGGGACACAAGGTGGAAACAATTTCTTCAGAGGGGCGAAGTGCAACAGCATCTTCACAAATAATCCAGGATCAGAAAACAGAGGAAACATCATTTGATCCAGCTGAAGTAAAGGAGGAAACTCCTGTGGTACAGGTCAGAAATTTCATAACATTTTATCTTCATTATATATAACATAAGTACACACACCTTACATATCATATGTACTCTTCCATATAAATAACTATTTATACGAATCATTTAAATTTTTTTCTTTCAACCCAGAGCTAACGAACCTATGGTTCTGTATGCAGAATGTCTCGACAATAGCTTCAAAGGAGAAGACGGAAGAAAACTTGTTGATCCAAGTTGATGAACCACAAAAGAAAGATGAGGAGCATTTGGAGGACAATGCGAAGCCATCATTATTAAAAGATTCCTTAGTGAATCCCAATGATAATGCATTAACTGAAACTGATAAGGTCAAACTCGATATAAATGGAGCAGAATCATTGCAGGAGAAAATTGAAGAAAGTGATTTTCTGAAGGAAGAATTGGATACAGGTAAGCTTGCAGAATCCTTCTTTGCAGTAGTGGAGTACACAAAAGCAACGGATTTGGGTCAAGACACAGAAAAAACAGATTTTCTTGAGGACCAGAGCCCAATAGTAAATCCACATAGAACCTTGGACGAGAAAACAGAGGAAGAAACAACGGATCCATGTGATTCCAAGGATAAAACTAAAGAGCAGCAGGTTAGAATATCATACTGGAGTTGAATTGTGTAATAAATACTTGGCATATACTAGAGTGGAACACCTTAATGGCAGATGTTACTGTTTTTTTTTTCCTTTCCTTTAATTTTTTTTCTCCATTTTCTGCAGAATGTTGCGATAAGTGTGTCAAATGAGGACAGTGAAGGGAATTCTCTTATTCAATATGATGATAGTGACAAGAACTCATTAATTTTACAGGACACGTCAGATACGAAGCATGACTTAGATTTTGTAAAAGATTTACAAGAACAATCCTTAATAGAAGCTTCAAGCAAGGATACCAATGAAGGCGAGTCAACAACTACGCATGACACCGTACTTGTTGATGAACATACAAGAGAAGTTGGATTTTCAAATGATGCAAAAACTGCAGATAGTACCTTGGTGACGAAAGAGAACTTACAGGACGCTCCAGAGGATCACAAGCCATCTCCCTCAAGTGAAGACATAGAAGCAGCTTGCTCTCTTAAGGAGCAAATTGTAACTGCAAACCCTCAGTCAGTCATAAATGAAAAAAGAATTGATGTCACAGACACAAATGAAGAAAATCTTGAGGTAAAGTAAGCAGCATTACAGTATATAAATTTTAACATCAGTTAACAATTCACTTAACACTTATTTACTGTTAACACGGAATCCATTTTCTGCAGAATGTTGCGACAAGTGTGTCAAATGAGGACAATGAAAGAAACTTTCTTATTCAATACGATGATAGTGACAAGAACTCATCAATTCAACTGGACACCTCAGATATGAAGCATGAGTTAGATTTGGTAAAAGATTTGCGAGAACCATCATTAATAGAAGCTTCAAGCAAGGATACCAATGAAGGTGAGTCAACAACTACACATGCCATACTTGTTGATAAACATACAAGAGAAGTTGGATTTTCAGATGGTGACAAAACTACAGATGGTACCTTGGTGACGAAAGAAAACTCACAGGATGCTACAGAGGATCACAAGCCATCTCCCTCAAGAGAAGACATAGAAGAAACTTGCTCTCCTGATGAGCAGAGTGTAACTGCAAATCCTCAGTCAGTCATGAATGAAAAAAGAATTGATGTCATAGACACAAATGAAGAAAATCTTGAGGTAAAGTTAAGAAGCACTACAGTAAACAGATTTTAACACCAGTTAACAGATCGCTTAAAATTATTAACTGTTAGCACGGAATCCATTTTCTGCAGAATGTTGCGATAAGTGTGTCAAATGAGGATAGTGAAAGCAATTCTCTTATTCAATATGATGATAGTGACAATAGCTCATCAATTCAACTGGACGCCTCAGATATGAAGCAGGACTTATATTTGGTAAAAGATTTGCAAGAACCATCAGTAATAGAAGCTTCAAGCAAGGATACCAATGAAGGCGAGTCAACAACTACGCATGAACCCATACTTGTTGATGAACATACAAGAGAAGTTGGCTTTTCAGATGGTGACAAAACTACAGATAGTAACTTGGTGACGAAAGAGAACTTACAGGACGCTCAAGAGGATCACAAGTCATCTCCCTCAAGTGAAGACATAGAAGCAACTTGCTGTTTTGATAAGCAAAGTGTAACTGCAAACCCTCAGTCAGTCATAAATGAAAAAAGAATTGATGCCACAAATGAAGAAAATCTTAAGGTACAGTTATGCAGCATTACAGTATATAGGTTTTAACACCAGTTAACAAATTGCTTAACCATTATAAACTGTTAACGGAATGCATAATTAACACTACCACTTTTCCTTATACTCGACATAGTTAAGTTATATTCTTCTTGCAGAATGTTGCAACAAAATTTCCACAAGAATACACTGAAGAAACCTTAGTGATCCAACCAGATGGCTTACCTAAGGAACATGATGAACATTTGGGAAAAGAAAGCAAAACTTCATTTCTCACAGAAGCTCTAACCAAGGAGAACAATGACATTCAGTCCACACTGAGTGAGCTTAAAGAAAAGAACGAGGACTCAATAGAATTTGAATCATGGGAAAAGGAGAGAGATACTGTTTCTGCTTCAGTGAAAGAAGGACATGTGGAGAAGCTTATAGATCTCTATGAAGTAGCTCATGATGATATTCAAGCATCTGACTCAACTTTAGACACAAAAATTAGTCATGATAAGGAAGAGATTCAGACCCCAGATTTACAAGAAATGTCAAGTGGTAGAAATGAAGAAACTGCTGATGACACAACTGAGTCGAATATCCTTGATTTCCAGGTATAAAACCAAAGCAACAGCCGAACTTTAAGAGTTTTAGCTTATTTATATCTATATCTATATAATGGACCAATCTATTTAGCTAAAATTAGCATATATTTTCCCGCTTAAAATTTTCAACCTAATTTAGAAATATTATTGAACTTCACTTATAACCAATTCTAAAAGTTTGTTATGTAAAGATTGAGTTATATTTTTTTTTTATTTTTTATAAATTTAAGAATTTTGATATGAAAAATACAAATCAAATTATATTTTAACAATTTCATATTTAATAATGCATTATTTTGATATTATAAAATGATAATATTAATTTATCGCGTAGAAAAATATGATTCGTCTAATAGAAACTTAACTTAAAACATATCAAAATTAACTAAATTATCTATTGCTCGAAAATATCAATGTTTATCTAAAAAATAATGAATATATATATATACATATATAATCCATTAAATAAATCATTTGTATGTATAAAATTATTGATGTGTGGATAAAACATATTTATTATAATTATTATTATGGTGGATGGGTGAAATAATATATATCTATACACATATATATAGATTCNAATAAATAAAATAATTTATATTAAAGTACCATAACTAAAAATTAGTTCATTTGGTACTCATTGAAATAATAAAATGAAAACATATGATATACATACCGAAAAGATAGCATCAAAATATAGACATTAAATAAAGCTAAAATAAATAAAATTTTTAGAGGCAAAATTTAACTATCAAATGGATGATGTTTTATACAATCATCAATAAAAAAATTAGTAAAACAAAATAAATCTGATGAGTTAAATTTTTCATTGAACCAAATATGAATTTTGAGTTGTTAAAAATTTAAAATATTAGAAAAATAAATATGAAAAAATATACTTGTTAATAATTTTATACACAAATATCTTATCTAATATTAGAGGCTTTCACAATATTTATAAAATTATGAAAAACAATCACATATATTAAAGAGTCACATATATATTCTTCTAAAAGTAACTAAAAAATAAAAAAATAATAATAACAAAATATAAATATTATTATTTAAAATATGCCCCGTGCAGCGGGGTAGTTTATTTATTTAAAAAACAAAAAAATCAAATGGAAAAAAATAAAATAAAAAAGGGTGAAAAAAATAAAAAGGACGTATTATCGAAATACGTTTTCCTAATAAAATTTTATTAGGAAAAGTATTTCCGTAATACGTTTTATAATTATATTTAGAAAATAAAAAAATATTTCCATTTAAAAAAAAAAGGAGAATTGAATAAAAAATGATACTTGTAAACTGTATTCCAAAAATACGTTTTCCAAAACCCTAAAATTGATTTTTAGAGTTTTAAAAATGTATTTTCGAAATACGTTGTCTATTTCTATATTTTAGTTAAAAAAATATTTAAAAACGTCTAATCGGAATACGTTTTTTATTTACAAACGTTCATTAACGAATGCGTTTTTATAAAACGCATCATTCGTTTTTTTTTAAAAAAAGAAAAATGTATAATGAAAATACGTTTTATAATTAAATAGGCGTAAAACGTATTCTGGTAATACGTTTTACAATTAAATATAAAAAAAAAATTCTCTTCTTCTTCTCCATTCATTTGCGCGAATACATACCAGAGAGACCAGAGAGCGAGAGCAGAGGCGGAAAAAAAAACTTGATCCAAAACCAACAACAACACGAACCTCATTTCCGGTTAATTAATTCGCACGAGGTATATTGGTTTATCTCAACTTTTGACATTGTTTAGAGTTGTTTAGAGATTGAGAATTGTTATAGTATGTTTGAATGTGGTGGTGTTTGAAGATTGAGAATTGTTAATTGTTTATCGATTATGTGTGTATGTTGAATTGGAGATTGAAATTTTGTTGTAAATTGTAAATTGTGTATTGGTTGGTTGTTGTTGGGCATAGGGTTTTTCGAAATTAAGATTAGAATTAGGGCTTTCAATTTATTCGAAATATAGATGAATTGTATGTTATTGTTAGATTATGGGTATTAGGGTTTTGGAGGATTAATCGATTGAGAATATTTTTTTTTGGTTTTTTCGTTTGAGTAAAAAAATGGATTTAAAGAATAATTAAATTTCGTGGGTGTTGGATTAGACATTATGTGTTGTTGTAATTGGGAAGAATTGAAAGTCTTTTTTGCAACAGGTATAAATGGCGTATTGCGGTCCATATTTTGTTAATTTGTATTGGCGATGTGCGAAGGAACAGTTAAGAGATTTTGTTTCATTTATAGATCGTCCGGATGGTTCATTTGTTATTACGGGGAGGATATCATATGAACAATTGGTACAGATGATTAATGAAAATTGTCGGTTTGGAGAAGGTTAGACAATTCAAGAGATTACTTTAATGTTTCGTCAACCCGATGGTTCGTGGAATGCCGGAAGACCCAATAACGATAGTGCTCTTCAGTGGATTTATTTATTTCCTTCTATGTTCATTGTGTATTTGCATTTATCATTGGAGGCAATTACACCGGTTACACAGTTTGAGAATTTTACTCTTTATTACGGGGGAGTGGATGATGTTGAGGGCACGTCGACTTCTCATGTACGTATTCCCAATAACGATAGCGTTGCACGGGAGTTATTTCTTTATTTAAAAAAAAAACAAGTGGACAAAAAAAAATAGGGGTGAAAAGAAATCAAAAATACGTATTCTCGGAATACATTTCTTATTGAAAAATGTATTCCTGTAATACGTTTTCAATAATAAAACGTATTCCGAGAACACGGTTTAATTTAAAATAATTAATTAAGATAATTAACTTAATTAAGTTAATTAAAATATAAGAAAACGTATAACTAAAATACGTTTTAAAGTAAAAAAAAAACGTATTATTGAAATACGTTTTATAAATACGTTATTTTTTTTTTCACTTGATTTTTTTGTTTTCTAAATAAATAAACTACCCGGGATCAATACTAGTTTCGTCTTAACGCATGAGTCACTCTCTTTCTGTGTTGTCTGCATGCATGACTCCTTCTTGGACTCTTGTAACATAAGCACATATATAGTTCATCACGCATGTAAAGTGTAAACGCGGTATGTTTATTACATTTTACATAACATACCTGTTTATACCATAATTTCACATCATTAGTCATTACAGGTCAAATTATCGCCTGTAACCCAAAAGATGACAGACACACGGTTTCTAATAAATCAAATGAGCTGGCCAAAGCCCAGTAAGTGACACAAACAGATGACGAAAATTATTGACCGGACATATTTACAACAGCCTATAGTTTCTTTACAGTGTGGGACCCACTTGGTCGCCTCCCCCGTGTTTATATAGTTTGATATTTATCACACCCCAAAAGCCCGTACATTCTCATTTTCTTATAATTTTCTCCCACTTTTCTCTCTATTGCATAATAGTTGGCATTGGCAAGGAGATAAATCAGGAGGAGAAAACATTCGCGCAGCCAACACATTCACTAAGATTTGAAAAAGGTAGAAAGTTTTCGCTATTCAGCTTGGCCGACATTTTTCCCCTTTTTCCGCCGGCGGCGTTTCGCCTACCGGAAAACGGGATCCGATATTCCGATTCAAAACCAGACTTCTTATTCTTGTTTTTTCTTCTCTTACTGACCGTAAAGTTCAAATCTTGACCCACATTTGTGGACTTTTTGCTCGTGTCCTGATTGGCCCGCCGTGAGTTCTGTTCTTCCTGTGTAGGACCAATGTCTTTTCTTTTCCTTTCCTTTTTCTGATTACCTTTGCCTGTGACGATTGGTGTGTGTTTTTTTATTGATATGTTAGTATACATGTCTGTCTTTTTGGCATTTGGAGTTGTAATTTGTTTGTGAATGTTTACCAAAATATGTGCTTGTCAAAAATCTTCCTCTTCTCATATGGAAAGAGGTCTTATTTTCAATTTTTTTTTTTGGCCAATTAGTGGGTTTTTAGTTTAGTTGTTATGTCATGAGTACAAATTCAAAAAACTATCATTTACCTGGATAGATGCCCCTTTTCTTATGTTATTTATTTTCTCTGAAAGGACTATTGGCATAATTTGCTGATGGGAATGAAAAGTGCATATTTTGATGGAAAAAAGAATGATTAGGGTTTTAAGATTTATCTGTGTGATCCATATTTGTACCTTTACTTGGTCCCTATGAATGATGTTCTACAATCTACATGTGTGTGGTCTCCAGAGAATATTCTTAAAACAATTAAAAAATCTGCCGAAGTATGTCATGTTTTTCTATTTTCTGATCTCCACAATTATCTTACGCGACTATCAGTTAATTTAAATGCATCTAATTTGTTTCTCTATCCCTCTTCAAATATGATTAGTTTATTGCATCGTTGTCAGCGTCAGCAGGGAATTCACGTGCCTTGGTGATTATTCTATGTTTAAACCTTTACAAAATTGTCTTACTCGTTGTCATGAGACTCATGACTAGTAATTTAAATTTTTCTCCTTTTGTTACTCTATTGTTATAGTGAGGCAGTATCATAGTACTGGCATACTTCTTATGTTCATACAATGTATGAAATGCAATTAATGTATCATGATATATTTGATCTTTTTCTTGTTCAATCCATTTTTCTTTTCTGTATTTATTTAACCCTGGAAGGTTACAAAAAATTGTATGCCCATCTCCATTTTCCTGAAATCTGTTTAGGTGTTGCATTAGTATATACAGAAAATGTCATTTCCCTTTTCATTTTTCTTGATTTGCAGCAAACACCATGGATAACTTTAAGACTCCATTCAAGGGAGTTAAGGAGGATTTCAAAGGAAGGCTGGCATGCTACAAGAAAGACTGGCTCAATACGTGTGGCTCGGGCGCAAGGTGCAATTTTGTTTATTCTTATTATTATTAAAGTCTTAAAGGTGTTCTGAAGACTGTTGTTTCATTTAGGCAACCTAATTTGATATTTATTTATTCCATATCACCATATCAGGATTTTGGCCCCAACAGCATATATTTTCTTTGCTTCTGCTCTCCCAGTAATTGCATTTGGAGAGCAGTTGAGTCGGGAAACAGGTAGAGTTTTAAGTTTGTGTTGGCCAACACTAACAAGTTTTACTTCTGCTAAAAGCACAACATTTTTTCTTTTTATTTCTGTAAAGTTATCTCTTTGTACAGATGGAAGCTTGAGCACAACTGAGACTCTTGCTTCAACGGCTATCTGTGGGGTCATCCATGCAATATTCGGGGGACAGCCATTGTTGATCCTAGGAGTTGCAGAACCTACCATTATAATGTACACTTACTTATACAACTTTGCCAAAAACAGCATAGGCAAAGAACTGTATCTAGCCTGGGCTGGGTGGTGTGTAAAACTAGCCTTCTTTCTTTTCTTTCTTGAATCTGTTTTTGACTTTTTTCTCATTTGTAGAGTCATAAGATGATTGTCACTTTATAATCTGTACTTTCCTCTGAAAAATCAGGGTGTGTGTCTGGACTTCCTTGCTCTTGATACTTCTGGCTATATTCAATGCTTGTACAATCATCACTCGATTTACGAGGGTGGCTGGTGAACTTTTTGGCATGCTAATCTCTGTACTTTTCATTCAGGAGGCCATTAAGGTATTGTTTTTCCCGTTCTCTCCTGTTTTTTCTCCCGAATTTCACTTCTACAAATTCTAGCCCAACCTTGCAAAATTACAAATTAAAAACACACGAGTTTCAATATAACCATAAAATAATCTTTCTTCATTTTTGAGTAGTTTAAGCAATTTTCATTGTAAAATGTTTGGTTTATCCATAACTCAATTTTTATTACGTTGTCGTTGAGTACCCAGCTTAGAAGGCTGATCTGATCTGATCTTCTCATTTTATTTTTCATTTTTCATCATCAATCACTTTAACCACAGGGTGTGGTGAGTGAATTCAACATTCCAAAAGGTGAAAATGCGTCAGAAGAGAAATACCAGTTCGAATGGCTTTACACTAATGGGTTGCTTGCCATCATATTTTCATTTGGACTGCTAATAACTGCCCTAAAGAGCAGAAAAGCTAGATCCTGGCGTTATGGCTCAGGTTAGTGTTAGACTAAAATTCTTTACATCCAATTTCATTGTAATTTCATTTTCTGTAACTTAATAACTTGGCCAAAATGTTGAAACAGGCATGTTCAGAAGCCTAATTGCAGATTATGGGGTCCCACTTATGGTTGTCGTTTGGACCTCTTTATCCTATGTTGTACCTCGTGATGTTCCTGCTGGGGTTCCTAGGAGGCTGTTCTGTCCACTTCCTTGGGACCCTAAATCATTGTACCATTGGGGAGTTATTAAGGTACTTAAAAAAATCCATGTAAAACTAAGTAGATGGTGTCTCATGTTAGTAAATCCAAGGGAAAAAGACTGATTTTTTATATTGCTTCTTCCTTTTTCTATTTTTTGTTATTTTGTTTTGGCCAAGTGAAGATGAAATGGTTGGAGCTATTTGATAAACAAATTATATAATGGTGAATTATAGGACATGGGAAAAATACCGGTGGAGTACATTTTTGCTGCCTTAATACCGGCATTGATGATTGCGGGCCTATACTTTTTCGACCACAGTGTGGCTTCACAGCTGGCGCAACAGAAAGAGTTCAATCTGAAAAACCCGTCAGCTTACCATTATGATATCCTCTTGCTTGGAGTCATGGTACAGAAATCATGAGCATATTTAAAAATGTCTTAATTGCGTCCACAATGCAATTGTACTCGACGATTTTATTACTCCTCTAACATATTCTTTTTTCCAGACTTTGATTTGCGGGTTACTTGGACTTCCTCCTTCTAACGGTGTACTCCCACAGTCTCCTATGCATACTCGGAGTCTTGCAGTTCTTAAGAGGCAGGTAGGGAGGCATT